CAATATTTCTTTGGCACACTTAACTTTTGGCTTTGAAACTTGTATCGAAGTTAGTATCTTTCGAGGTTTGCAAAAGTTATTAATTTAGAAATTTTCTCAAGGTAATCTTACCAGAATAATTGCTTCAAATTTTGGCTCTAATAATGTTGCACTTAAATGAATTTGGTTAACCCGGAAAGATACTGCATTTGGAAATAACTTGAAAATTAAAACATAATTTTGGCCATAAATTTTAAAAAAAAAGTTTCCATTTACAAATTTTTTGATCCTTAAATCGTATGACTCTTCATGCTTGTTTTTGTTTTCTTTCATCATTGTGAATATTTCGCAAAAAACCAGAACCATCTTTCAAACCTTTTTTGGTTTTAAGGAACCATTTTATAAGTGTGTGCATTGAATACAATTTACACCGAAGTTGTGCCTGTGATTTTACAAATTTAGTACGATTTTAGAGGAGTTGCGTGCGCAGATCGGTGCGATTACGAACTACATGGAGAGCGATGCTCTGCCGCCGGTGATTCGAGAGAAGTTGCGAGAGATGGAGTTGGCGAACGAGGCACTGCAAGAACAGTACAACAGTCTCCAGGACAGACTCACACACGCCGGACAGGAGAAGGCAGACCTACACAATGCACTCATTGAGTTGAGGTCAGTTCAGAAGGACTCATAGTCTTTTACTCAAGTAGACATTCTGGAGCGATCGTCTAAAAGAAACGCTTAACGCGCTTAAATCTTGCTTCAAATTAGATGAAAAATCTCGACTTGGATCTCCATTTTAAAGTTTACAGTCCAATTTTGATGAATAACACTCGCTGACTAATCACTAATTCCAAATTTATTTGCTTCTCTTAAGCCCCACCTTGTACAATCGGTGGTATATAAACAAGCCGAAGTGTGAACCAGCCGAAAATACGTAAGTGTTATTGTAGTGTAACAGTTACCAAAATTATGCAAATTCATTCATATGATGTAACTTTTCGGCTGACATATATACTCCGCGCATTTTTGGTTGGCTTATACTTTGGCTGGCCTAGGTACTCTCGTAAACTCACTGGTTATGGTTATATCATAAATTTGACGCTGATGCAAAGCAACGTCAAAAGGAAAAAAGTCAAGAAAAATACTCGATTCTTTCTCATTTAGGACTTACAATCAAGCTACCTATAACTAAAAAATTTTACACTTTCAAGCTTAAAGTCATTTTTAATTTTTGGGGCGCTTGATTTACTGGAATGCGAGTAGTTAACTTTCAAGAGTTACCTCTTATACTTTAGTCAATCAGAAATTTTTATAAAAACAATTTTGCAGAAAAGAACTGGAGGCCAAAAAAGCTGAAGTGACGCGTGAAGAAGTGAACAAAAAGTCAGTCATGCGCGAGCGAGACGAACTTCAGAATGTGAAAAATGACCTCGAATCCAAGTTAAAACACGGAGCCCTCAACTTGAAGAAAACGAATGAACAGCTGCGTGAAACTATGAACGAGAACCAGTCGTTTAAAATCCGAATAGGCGAGATGGAAAATCAGCTGAAAGGACAGGCGGAGGAAATCAGTCGGACTAAACATGACAAAGCTCAGATTCAAGATGAGTTTGCGAGGCTGAACATTGCACATCATCAGCAGTCTGATACGCTCAAGGTCAACTCGAAACATATTTCTGAAAAGAGTCTTTCAGATATTGTCAGATATTGTGCACAGCTATTTTTAGTGTTATTCTGCGAAGCTTTCTAAACAACGAAAAGTTAAGAAAATAGAAGCCTGCTGATTTGAAAGTTCGCTGCAATTTGAAATAACTTTCTTTGAGTCAAACTTTCAACCCAGCTATTTTGTTTAATCAAAAGGGCAAACTATCATTTGGATTTTAACAATATTTTCAAAATTGTGCGATTTTTTTAAAACTTAAATGGGAAACAGTTTTTCAGTGCTAAGATTTTCTACTCCAAGGCGAAACAGCCTTTTACGTTAATCGGAATATTTGAATGAAACCCGGGAAGTTACCATTAAAATTATTAATGAAATATTTCATCTGCTCTAGGCGCGTGAGAAGGAGATAGCGGACTCTAAGAACAGACTGGGCGTGCTGATGAAGTCGGTGAAAGATCTGGAGAAGAAGCTGAGGGACAGTGGGGAGAAGGTGAAGCAGCTGAGTCAGAGGAGTGAGGCTCTCAGGAAGGAGAGGGACTCCTACATCAAGGACACCCACAACCTACAGGGACAGCTGGCTCAGGCCAAAGACCAGGTACAGTAAAGCCCTGCTTGTAATTAGTCATTTTGAACATGATTTCTTAAAATAATTGCATGAAACGGACAACTCGCTCTGGTCAATTTGGCACTGAAGGAGATACTGGTCTAATAAAGTGTTCCGAGTGGAATACTGATCCGCATGGATAAAACTCATCGCATTGGTTTAATCTAGTCGCACTGGCTTAAGGTAAACATAAATATAGTTCGCGTAAAACTTTAGCTGTAGCCAGGGGCGGATGTAGGATTTTCTCGAGGGCGGATTTTCAAAAAATTTCGAAAATTTTGTCGACCTTTTTTTTAGGTCGACCGAATTGATTTTTCGAGCTCTCCCTGATGCACGGCTTAGTCCCTGTTTTGGCGAAATTTTTTGCGCCGCAGGCAAATATTTGAAAAAACAGTCCAAAAAAGGCATTTTTAGGCACTTTTTGAAAAATTTTGACCAAAAAATCGCGTTTTTTCGGCGCGCGCTCCCCCTCAAAATTAGTATATATAGGCGCCCAAGGCGCCTTTAGAAAAATTTTAGGGTCGGTCGGCAAAAAATGGATTTCATAAAAAGTACCACAGGGGGGACCCTTTGGGTCGGCAGGGGGTCGAATCCCTGAGGGAGAGAAGGCGTCCGCCCCCACCCCCCCTAAATCCGCCCCTGGCTGTAGCACCATGATTGAAATTAAGTCATGTTCAGGAGTATGGTACCATAACCTACCGAATAACAATTACTCAGCCCAGAAAAACAACTGTGGAATTCCTATTTGATTTTGGGTCCAATATCTCAGATCGTGTGTCCATTCAAAACAACGGGTTGTGCGAAGCTTCCCTGCATCAGAGGCTACGCCGAAATTTTTGAACACAAATGTTATGGCCCTCGGGAATGTCAAAACTTCGGCTTTTTCTCCGTTTTTTTTAAAAATTGATGTTATTTTCTGGAAAAATACTCCTCAAACCAAAGTTTTTCGTTTCAATGGATAAAACATTTTCTGTAAGGCTGCACATCAATACCGGCTACGTCCAAAAATTTTTACACAAAAATTTATTGTCATCAGAAAAGTCATGTTTTTAATTTTTGAGTGTTTTGTGAAATTTTTTGACTTTTATTCAAAACTACCATCCCAAATCAGAGATTTTGGTTTCAATCAAAATAAAATTGAAGTGTGATAAGTTCTTGCATAAACAACTATGAATGCCCAATTTTTTTCCCACAAAACAAAATCTTTTTTTGACATTTTATTTTAACTTTTGACTTTTCTCGAAAAATATTTTACCAAATCTAGAGATTTTGGGTTTAATGGAGAGAACTGGCTGTCGGAAGCTCCCCTGCATTAGTGGCCTTGCCCTAAGTTTTTACAAAAACTTATCGTCCTCAGAAAAGTCATTTTTAGTGATTTTTTGATCGTTTTTTAACAATCAAACTACCATTCTAAAAGTAAGCGGCCATGTTCAAAACTTTTCTCAGAAAAAAAATTTGGCCGTCGGATAAGACAATATTTTTATTTCTCGTCCGTTTTTTTTTAAATTTTTTGACTTTTCACAAATATTACCCCACCGAATATGTATCGAGGGTTTTATCGAGGCAACAGGTTTTTTAGACGCATCCGTGCATGCCTTAAGCCTTAGTATGCCTTAAGCTTTAGTTGAATCCCTACTTGAATGTAGTTTTACTCAGGTGAACAATAGCGGTTCTTATAATTGTCAATTCCTAGTTGATAAATCGTCTAAACCCAAACGTTAAAATGTTGCAAGAGAAGTTCAAAATACCTTTAAAACGAATGCAAAAAATTCTGTTTGATAAAATCAGGTTTATGAAAACATATGGGGTTAAAATTGCTCAGTTTTTTCAGACGCATTGGAAATCTTTTTGTACTATGTTTGAGTTTTAGTTCCTTTCAAAAGCTGCTCTTTTGTTTTCGAAAAAATTGTGTTAGGAATGAAAAAACCGCCAGCTCCCCTCTTTACCTGCAAAACACCTAGTCTCTTATTAACCGTACCCTACGTACTACAGTCTTCGCAAAAACCATTCGGTAAATTTTGACCCACATTTATTATAGAGTTTTTTTTCACTTTCACAAAAACTACCTTCCCTACCTTGAGATGTTGGGTTCAATGATTGAAGAACTTGTGGACGCTTCTTTGCAAAAGCAGTTATAGCCTTCAAAAAAATCTAAATTTATTTACCTGTTTCAAAAACAATTTCGACTTTTCTCAAAAACTACCCTCTCAAATCTGCATTTTTGATTCAATCGGGAGAAAGGCTTCTAGGAACCTCCTTTTTTAAATTTCTACGCCCAAAAATTTAAAATCAAAAAGTTAACGTCCTAGGAAAAGTCCTTTTTTTAATTTTGGACTCACAAGAGACTTTTTAACTTTTCTTGAAATCTACTCTTAAATCTCAAGTTTTGGGTTCAATGGAGAAAACGCATTTTGAGACTCTCCGCTGCACTAGCGTTTACGCCCTTTTTTAAAAAAAGAAAAAGAAATCGACCAGGCAAATAATATTTGTGATTTTTTTACCCTCTTTTGAAGTTTTGAAAAAACAGGTGTGCGAAGGTTCTGCATAAAGGGCTACCCCCAATCTTTTTAAACAATAAACTTTGGCCCTCGAAAGAGTAAATTTTGTCCCTCGAAAGATTAAACTTTCCCCCTCGGAAGATTAAATTCAATCCGAAAGAACAGAATGTGTGAAGCTCCCCTGCATAATTTTTTGAGGCCCTCGGACATTGAAATTTTTGATCGTTTGACCGTTTTTTGAAACTTTTTGACATTTCTAGGAAGATAACCTCCCAAATGTGAGTTTCAAAAAGATAAAACAGGTTTCGTGAAACTTCCCTGCATATGCAGCTACGTCCAAGTTTTCTTTAAAAAAAATATGGTCCTCAAATTGAACAGATTACAGGTATCTGTAGCTTTAGCTGGGCGCCCATTAAAATTACTAGAAGGAATAGAACGCCCATGTTATATACAAGATAATTGATAATTGAGGTTATTTTAGTTATGTATGAAAAATTTCAAAATCACTTTGAAATCGAATGCGGTAGCTAGAATTGGTAAAATTGGTAGAAGGCTAAATCAGGCGATCAAAAGATATTAAATAATTCGTAACTTTTGTTTTAATTAAAAACGGTTAAAGAAAGGTATTTTAACTAAATAGGAAGAGACTTATTTGACGTTTTTAGAAAATTAAAGCCAAACCCTTCCCCGACGCCAGCTAATCATTTAGAATTTAATCTTAGGTTCTGCCATTACGTACTTTCCGAGCGAATGTTACACCATTCATATTTTCATAGCCTCATGACAACGTAAAGTTATTTTTCCAATTGATTAATTCATTGTTATTCATTATTAAATAATGAGGTATGTGAAAAATTACACAGTGATGATGATGGATGACTCGATGAAACATGATTCGGAATCTACTCTAGAAAATATGTAGGTTATTTTCTTTGTCGAAAGCCGGGATCCGCTGAGATGTATTACAACCAAATTTTTTAATTGGCTGAAATGATTTGCGTTTCAATGCTTTGAAGCATTTTTTTAAAACTCAGTAGGGCGTTGTGGGTGATAGTTGTCTGATTTTTTAAATGAAATTAATGTTTTTCGGTTTTTGTGATTTTTTGTTTATTTTTCCCGCGAAGTTTTGATAGGCTTCTTAACCTTTGACATAGTATTTATTGAAAGTTCTGGCTGAATCGATCTATTAGTTTGTGGGCAAACAGATTGCCCTTGCTTGTCGTAACGATTTTCAGTGCTTCAAATAAAAAAAGTTGCGATAGTTTGTGCGGTTGCCAATTGAATTCCCCGAAAGGATCCCTCTGTAGTACTTTCTTAAGGAACCAATTTTAAGGAAAACATTATTTTCTGTCTACCAGTTCGAAATCTTTTATAATGGCTCATTTGACGGCAATGTAGTAATTTTAAGGAATGAAACATGTTCCGAAAACAAGTTGTTTTGTTGCCAAAATTTGTGGTAATAATGTGGTTGTAGATCAAGCAAATCAGACACGACGGAGTGGCGACTCAGAAGCGACTGGAGGACCAGATGAAGATGGGCTGTGATTGGAGGGAGAGGATAGCCGAGTTGGAGAGGGAGAAGCGGAAGAGAGACGACGAGCTGAACAGACTGGGCGAGGAGAAGGCCAGGCAGGAGGTCGAGAAGGGCAAGTCAGTATCCAAGGGGGGGGGGGGGGTTTGGTTTCCACGTCGAGGTGCTCACTTAATGTTTCGACTTTCAAAGAACATGTCAGAGCTTGACCGAAAAATAATAGTGGAGGAAGGGTTTGGGTCGAGTGTCGAGCATACCTCGAGCACGGTCGAAATATACCCCGAGTACGCACGAATTATATCTCGAACACGGTCAAATTATACCTCTAGCACGGTCGAAACATACCTCGAGCACGGTCGAAATATACCCCGAGTACGCACGAATTATATCTCGAACACGGTCAAATTATACCTCTAGCACGGTCGAAACATACCTCGAGCACGGTCGAAATATA